CTTGTATCTATAAAGTAACTCTAAACTAAGAATAAATTGATTTTGTAACCCTTAACCAGGCTCTAGTGGCCATAGAGCCGACATAATTTGAACTGTATGCTATGAAGATACGGTTGAAAAACAATGACTTTTTTTTTGCCTGCTTAAGGTTTAATTACAAAAATAAACTTACTGAACACATCTTTAGTACGCTTCATACGTTCAGCTTCATGGCCATAACCACTGAGTCAGTTTTTAGAATATTTTATTACTGTGAGGCGATCTTCCTAAAGTAACGTTTTAATTTAATGATACCACATCCTGTTTTTTTTATAGCGGTGTGTTTTTTCAGTTATAAGAGTACCATTTCATTTGAAATCGTAAACTTTATTTCACATGGCAACAATATGGAGGATCCTTGTAACTGATCAAAAATATTGTTTCACACTAGTAAAATCACAACCAAAATCAAATAACCAAACTGCAAATTTCATAAAAGTCACTAACGGGACTATTCCTACCTCTCGTTCCCACCGCTGCAACTTCTGTATAGCCAGGATCTACAGCTTGACCGCCAATAAAAACCCAACCAGTGAAGGTCAAGTTCGTCCCGGTAACAAAACTAGGTAGTAATTCACCATCTGCACCGTGAGATTTAGCGTGATCCCTTCATAACACACTACTTATACCACCACATAACCCAATGGTTTGGTAGCATCTAAAATTATCCATTATAAACAAACAAACAATACTAACATATCCCCTTTGAGTAATCAGTTGCCTATTCACATTAGATACACCATGGAGACCCTATAACTTCAAAACACCATAACATAAATCATATGGCTTAATGCATTGATACAATCAGAATAACGAGGTATCACCCCGCCCGCTTGGATGTCACCTTTTCAAATTGAATCATGTATAATATAAGCGCTTCTAAACCCGGCTTCTTTATTGGAGACATTAGCTGTGCCCGCGACTTCGTTTGAATAATATTTCCCGTTTTTGCAACATTTTTCTTTACTGCTCCGCCTCTATTGGCTGTAGGGTCATGTCAAGTCATGTCGATAAATTGGCTATCCAACGCAAAAATATTTTTTCAAATCGGACCAGTAGTTCCTGAGATTAGAGCATTCAAACAAACAAACTGTTAAACTTTATAATATTAGTATACATTTCTCCTACCGCAAAAAAGGCGAACCCAACGGGAGACAGGTTTCAACAAAACCGGTCAAGCGAGAATCTGGGGTCTCTGAAATGTTCTGCTGTAACGTGCTCTGTGGTAGGATATTTTTTGCATTTAACGATAAAGTTTGGAGGAATTTTTTCGCAGATAAAGCACGTTTGTCTTTTTATTTCATAACTAGATTTTGTTCGCGACTTTGCCTGTGATTTCGGGCTGTCAAAAGTGACTTGCACTTCTTATTTGAATTTCTCTATCATAGTAATAGTTTCATACAAAATATCATCGTTTAGGTATTTTAATACCTTTGGGTTTTTTTGCGACAACTATATGTATTTCCCAGGTTTATTAAGGTTCAGCGGTGGAAGCATTTATAACATCGATAGTGGAGAGTTGTGTAAGATATTCTAGACAAATCAGCAATCTTCCATACACGGTCTATCAGATAAGTGACTGATAAGCATAACGTACCGATTACCTATTAGGATACGGAACTCCAAAACCAGAGAGCGAGATGAGGTTATCTTTACGATAGTATCTCCACAAGAGAGGGTGAGACAAATCGATTTAAGCGCATTCTACCAAGTCACGAAATTGACGAGAGAGACGGAAATATGCAAAGTCCTCAGGGAAGACAGGGACGAGGAGGCTGCACAGTGCAGGCAACCAGAGGTCGTTGCTCGATGTAAACAGAAAAAAAATTAGAGATCTCTCGTATGAGATTAACCGAAATAAGGAACCTTTTTAGTAGACAAGGCGGTCTCAGACGTGCACGAAATGTAAAGTACTGAGGCAGCACATCCAGCTAAATACTGTAGTACCTTATGTAGATGGAATAGGCGTTATTTTGCAACAAAAATGCATAGTCTGATGTGGTGTCGACTGTTTAAAAGTTTGCGATCTCGCTCCATAAGAGGATGTGCGAGTAATTCCCAAAATACAGTTACAACAGGTTATTGTTATTTAGTTTGTGTATCAGTGTCAACAACATTCAGTCTGAGTCTTTCACTGTTACCAAAACTTTCATGCTTTTGAAGAAAAAATCACGAATGGGTAAAATAATAAATGGGCAACATGGAAAGCATTGTGGGAGGCCTATGTTCAGCAGTGGCTGAGATATGATGATGATGATGATGGGTGAAATATAACACATGTGACATAAGTTAACCATTAAAAGTGCAGTGGGAATACAGTTCCCATATTAATAAGATTTTTTTATATCCCGCTTCGAGGGTCACAGAAAAAAGAAGATATCGAATGACCTCAATATTGCAATTGCTATACTTTTCGTAAATGCACTGGAATTGCAAAGGACAGGTCAAATACCAATACAAGCTAAGTAGTTCGCTCGCCTAATTATGATAAATACTTAAAAAAATATATAATAATAGAAGCCTCTAACTTATCAATCCTTCACAGAAACACTTTCTGCGAAATCTCAAGTAGCCAACCTCCATAAACAAAATTAAATGTATTTTACGGTCAACTCCAGTCAAAAATATGGCAGCTCACAGCAGTAAGATGCATAAAAGCGCTTTCAATTATATTAAACTCCACTGCAATTTCTTTTTTGCAATAATGGTTCTCAAACCTATAAAAAATAAGCATAAACTCCCCAATTTGAATTTGACGAATTGACACTTTCCCCTTTTATGGGGCACGTAATGGGGTTAGCAACACCCCATGGTGTCGCAGATTCGCGAGGGTCTGTCGATCGATTTCGGGCTATTTTTGGGTCCATGGTAATGCGTATTTGATATAGAGATTCTCGTTTAATGACATGGGTTTATGGGATTTACACCCGAAGATCGTCGATTGAATTTCTTATTATTTTAAATATGTACATGAATCAGTGGCCTATCTTTGTAAGTAACCTCTAGAGTTACTAGATCACAAAGGCGTCCAATACCGTAATATAAATAACTTACATATTTATGTTAGAGTCTGTAGAAAATAAAAGTTAAACCGAATGATGGTCTTTACCCTGTCGAACTGAACTGCCAATTTTTTTTATGTTATCTGCCAAGAAGTCAGCATCATTTACCTGTAACAAGAAAATAATAATTATTAGAAAGGAAAGCACGTTTACAATCACACAAAATAAGTACGCTTTTTAAATAAATATTATTTTAGCATGTAGCATTATAGGCACTTAAACCACTTTACTAAACCTTCCAATAATCTTACTGCGGCAAAAATATAAGCTTCTTAATCCTTAATGTCCGTACTTTGGGGTAAAACTAAAACTGTCCTTAAAGAAATAAAAACTGTAAAACTTCTAATTGTACCTCCTTGACCTGAGTATAATATAATAAAACTTACATAATTCCAGCAAACTAGTGAAGACATAGAATGTTTATAAATGTATCTAACGAAGCTTTAGTATTGTGTCGCAACATTTGGTGTAAGTCCAACGGTTTATACAATATTTTCTTGTCTATTTTTATGTTTGATGTTTCTATAAAAACTCATAAATAAAACTCATTTTATTTTTGCAAGTAAGCTTTTAAATTACACGTCCCAGTGTTAACCCTACCACTGTATCGGGACAACAAATGGGCCAGTGCTGAGAAGAAGCAGCGCTAGAAACTCAGTCACTATTGTCAGCCTAACTAACTAAGAGTATATTTTGCGAAGACACATACCTATGTAATAATTACAAAGCTTATCTACTCAAACTCAATCTTAGATCTAAGTTATTCGTTTATTTTCAATAATAAAATCAATAACAATCATAAATCTACTTTTGTGTAGAGTCACAATTTTCATAATACATTTTTATCATGATTTAGGAACTAGAAGCTGTACAATTTTAAATGCCATCTCGTTTATTAAAGTGAGGTATGAGAATAGAAGACAGATTAGTCTCATGAACTGTTGAATCAAGCGATCAATGCCCCCGCACTGCACGTTAGTGCGGTAGGCTCAACGGTGACGTCATCACTGGCACATGTGAAAAAACTACCCTAATAATAAAGAGCTGTTTAGCTCAAAATGCCTAAGGAAATAGAGCAACAAGAGTAGCAAAAGAACTATTTAAAGTAACAGAAATAGCTGTGAAATACACTTCTTCATTCATCACAACATACTCGTATAAGACATTTCGAATATCATTCATTTAGCGATTTTTTACTTGAGGTGAGGTAGTAATCGTCAGTAACTATAGGATGCCTCCTATTCCGACTAGAGTTACTGACGATAAGATTAAAATCTTATCGACTATTTTAGACGCAAATGAATGCCATAGGCTTATCGTGTAAAAATGCAAATGCTCAATGCACTAGCATTTGTGGTACCAGTCTGTAAAGTTACCAGATTTTTCCCTTTGCAATTTTTTAATAACACTCGAGAGAAGCTACTGAATCTAATTTCAAGTCCATTATAAGTCGTCGTCCTTGTCTAGCGAAATAATTATGATTTATAGTTTAATCTGCGCGAATTATCACACATCGCACTTGTTTTAAGTCATTCATCCTTGCATCCATAGTTCTTTATGGCACATTAATTGGTTTATGTTCTTTATTGCTCAATTAATTAAGTCGCTGAATTGATTGGGCCGATCGTTATCAGATTTATTTGTCATTTACTGTTTTATTATACTACACCGGTTTCAATATAAGACTGAATGATTTTGTAACTGAGTTTTAGAGGCGACTTACGATTTTAGTTTTGGTTTTGTGAGGAGTTATTTATAGTGTTAATTGTGAAAAATATAAAACGTTAAAATAGCGGTATCGTTATAGCCAATGAGCTGCTGTCATAGTGACATTGAGGTATTGTCAATGTCACATGAGAATCAAACGTCAGAATAGAGGGACGCGCGGAGACGACTCCGCGCGCTTTTGTGCTAAGTGATGAATTGTATCTAAAATAAGGCAATATAATGTGAAAGATGAGTATCCAGTGTTTTATTTATGAGAATAGATCGACCGGCCTCTAATAGTTCAGAAGTGAGATCTGAAACCTATGATAGTAACGTGATTTCAAAGTGTTCCAGGTGACCAATGTTTCGTGTTATTTGTCACGAATGTTAACACAAAACGCCCACGATTCTATGATTATAATGGAATATGATGAAGAGAGAATGTCAAGGAAACCACGCTGACAACTGTGTGAGATGCAGAAAAGTATTTAAGTACGAGAAATGATGGACGCAAATTATGAACATACTCCCTCCGTAACTTGGCTTGTGGTCACGTAAGTGGTGAACAATTTGACTAACGATGGCCCCAGAGCAGGTACGATTTATTATTATTATCGATTATTCCAACAACAACAATATTAACACATTTCCTTTTTGAGCAAAATAATGCATGAAAGTGAATGAAGCATCAAATGTTATAGGTATTGTCAGTCTTTACTGATAATGCCAGGAATGTGTGTGAAAGCTATGGTATGTGCTCACTTTAATTGCAATGCCTAATAAACTATTTTAGTAAATCAAATTAAATTGAACGGTGTTCATTTGTTCATGTTTACATTCTGCAAAGAATAACTTGTTGAGATTTAAAATCTATAAAGAATAGATAGAATTTGGTCAGATAAATTAAATAAGTTTGGTGATCATGCCCGAGTAACCTCTTGGCATTATTTTGGAGAAGAATTAATAATTAGTTTTATTCAAGTAAATTGAAGCTAAGGTCTGTGTTGTGTAAACCAGTTTTAGTATCATGATGTTTCTTTCTTGATGTTGAGCACTATAAGATGAGATAAAATCTATTAAATAGCTTAATTTGTAAATTGAAATTAAGTAAAGCAGCCAGTTATGCCGTTGAACATGTGGTGTATTTTTGGTACTCTTATAGTGATTGATACTTCAATTATTGTGAAACATAATTATTATTATGTTACATGATGCTATATTTTGAGTAAAGATAATGTTAATATTGAACTTTTCCAACTTATCAATTAATTTCTGCTGCCAGTAGTGATTTGGGTTGTATCACTAAAATTGAAAATTAGTGTGGGTGATTAAAATTTATCCAATTATTATAATTAAAAAAAAAAAAGATATAGAATGTGGTACATTTAACTTAAAGAGTATTCTTGTGTACCAGCCATTATTGTTGGTTATTCTTCCCACATGGTGAAAATGATTTTAATCTTGAGGTTATTTATTAGCTGTTTAATAAAAAGGTTACTGGTTGTAGCATGTTGTGTGTGCATATTTTTAGATTTGACTTGAGTTTTAGATATGGTGACTTATCTGTCTGCGGGTTGGCCCTGTGGTGAGCAAATCAGTCAAGCACAATACCTGAGTGAAGCTGAACACTGAACAAGGGTACTTCACATAAATGATTTGGAGTTGGACAGAAGGTAATGCAATACAAAAGGGCATCAGCTGTGATATTTGGTGAGTGAAAATGTAATACAAAAGGAATCAGCTGTGATATTTGGTGAGTTGAATTAATGTTTTATTGCAAGGGTTGAGCTGAGACTAGCAGTGCCACTGCGGCTTGGTTGTTTAACTGTGCTTATTCTTGTCATTGGCATGAAATTGCATACAATTAACTTGAGTGTGAACAGATTGTAATAATGAATTGGCTACAGTCTACTGCTAGACTTTAGAACTTCCCAACTGCCGCTAACAGTCTTAAGCAAAAAGTTATTATTAATAATGGTGAATAAGAGAGTGATGTGTTTGAATAGAAATAAATGCTTATCATTGGTCATTAGCATTGGCCTATTGTGTGGTATACTGCTGTACTGTGCGAAAGTTAGCTATTTACCCGACTGCGCCAGAAGGAGGGTTATGTTTTTGAATAATGGTATCAATGGAGCAAAGTACTAGCAGTGATCAAATAAAGTTTATATTGGTGATGATTGTGTTGTGTGCTTCCCTGTAATGACTGGGTTAACAACAGATACTTGAATATGAAGTCAGTTGCATTGTGGGTGAATTTTGGCCAAGCATGAGAAGAGAAGTATTGTACTTGTTAAATTAAAGTTCTTGGATATTTCCATGAATGCTTGTTCCTATTTGAGGATGGTAAGTTCATGGAAGTATGTGCAGTTTCCAAAGATAATAGTTGGAAGTGTATTGCTGTCAACACAACAATAACAGTAAGTTTATTATGATAAAGTTGCATTTGTGTGTGAAGCAAATTTGTGTTCACTAAGACACAATGAAAACATAATTTGTTTCACTGTTTATTACTGGCATTATTGATGATGATTTATGTAGTTGTGTTATTCATCTTAATATTTTAGAGTTTACATTGAAATATTTTATTATTTAAATAAAGATAATTTTAGCAAATTTCTTATGATGTTGTGATTATGGGAATGGTTTGATAATAATAATAATAATAGGGGTATGATGTACTATGTGAGGATCATACACCAGTGGGCATTGTCATGAAACTGGGTGGACTTTGTCATTTTGTGTGAGATGGATGTCCTGATAGCTGTGTGAGGAGGACATGTGGCATTGTCTTGAAACTGTGTGGACATTGTCATTCTGAGTGGGATGTCTGGTGTGACATCAGGAATTGTGAAGATGTCGTGTCTTGTGTGGGAGACATCATGAACTATGATGTTTTGGCTTGTGTAGCGACATCATAGGGCTGTGTGGCGAGGCGCAAACTGTGTGGAATGGCCTAATCTGTGTGGGTTTAAAGAGAAAATGTTAAAAGAACCATAACCAATCCCATAAATCATTTAGGTCCGATAGTATTTATTTTATTTGTATTGCATTGTATAACTTCATTATAATTACGTCATTAGGAGTTCACAATGTTCTAAATTAATTCTGAATAATACCGAAGAGAAGAGGCAGTATCATGAGCAAATGGAGAACCTACTGAGAAAGGCATACGCCGGGCGCTGTAGTGGTGACTTCGTGGAAAGCTTCAACGACATCGAGCAAGCAAAGAAGTGATTTTTCAAGTGGACGAAGACCACAGGAAGGCGGTCTTCCATGTCCGGAACTGGAACAGCAACGACGACAGGCTGCTAGCAGTCGCCCCGAGCGGCAGGCGCGCGAAGAAAGGAGCGACTCCCCTAGAAGCTCCTGAAAAGCAGTGGCGCCTCAAGACCGGATGGGACGAGCCCGTGCTGGAAGACGTCGCAGCATACTTCGAGAAATGGCTGTCAGACCTGCAGATTATGAAGAGACTGCGTATTCCTCGATACTACTACGGGGGGGAGATAAATGAAACTCCGAGAGCTGCACATCTTCTGCGATGCAGGCGAGGAAGCCTACGCCGCCGTTGCGTATTGGCACCTCACTTACAACGACAGGAAGGACGCGGAAGTTGTGCTGGTAGCTGCGCGTGCCAAAGTGGCTCCAGTGAAGACACAAACGATATCGAGGTTGGAGCTACAAGCAGCATGAACGGAAGTGCATCGGCTGCCTGTAGAAGACACTATCTACTGGAGTGACTCCTAAACTGTGCTGCATTGGCTGCGGAACGGAAGCCGCCGCTATACACCCTACGGAGCGCATCGACTTGAAGAGATCACCGAGGAGACAAGGCCGTCGGAGTAGCGTTTGAGTACCCACTCACTTGAACGTAGCCGACGTGGCGTCGAGAGCGGGATACGTGCCTACATCGGAAGAGGATGAGTCTGTTGTTCCAAGGGCCGTCGTTCCTTAGAAGACCGAAGTCTGGATGGCCACGGCAAGAAGGCAAGGACGATGACGTGACAATCGAGCAACACTGCATCTCGTCACTGGGAAGATCGAGGATAACGAGACGGTCACATCGGACCTCTCGCTTTGAATATTCCAGAACATGAGAGACAGAGATGGCAATATCGCGAGAGAAAGGGAAGAGTATAAAATAGGGAGCAGGGCATTCCAGCTGACTAGTTTAATTCAGATAAGAAGCGAGTTAAGAAATCAAAGTGGTCGAAAAGAAAAAGTGAAGAACTCAGAAATAAAGCTGTCTACAACAAGTACTCTGCCTTCAAGATTTATGCCGGTTCCTAGCCCACGAACATACAGTCCACTGCTCATCAACAGTGAGGGTTCTTTCCATTCTTGGAAGTAGAATGGGTTACAGTTCTATGATTTGGAGTTTATCGGAACCAGTAAGTTGTATTTTTGTGGTGGTTGAACAAACCTGATAGAAACCTTGGATAAAGGCCTAATTGGGCATCAAAGGATGAGTTTCGTCGGTGGTAACATTTTGGGCATATGAGCTATGGTGCCTAGATTAAGATGGCATGTGTGTGATCGACATTATTGTCATTATTGAAGCAGCTGATTCTAAAATATTGAACGAAGAGATAATTGTGATAGCGTCTGTATGACCATTGGCGTGGCGCTACTGATTGAGGAGCATGCTGAGCTTCTAGATGATGTGGATGTGCTGTGTAATGATGACATAGATGTACTGTGTGATGATGATATAGATGTACTGTGTGATGATATAGATGTACCGTGTGACGATGATATAGATGTATTGTGTGATGATTTCTCGTTTCAGCAGAACCAAATGTGGTCAGCGGTGGTGCGAATGGTGGTGGAGATGGCAGAGTGGATGGCTAGATAGCCAGGTGCTCAGCTGGATCCCAATACGAGGCGTCAAGTGTGCCATGAGCAGACCTTCGAGGGCGAAGGAATTGCAGGAAGGCCATACTGTTAATTGTGAAAAATATAAAACGTTAAAATAGCGGTATCGTTATAGCCAATGAGCTGCTGTCATAGTGACATTGAGGTATTGTCAATGTCACATGAGAATCAAACGTCAGAATAGAGGGACGCGCGGAGACGACTCCGCGCGCTTTTGTGCTAAGTGATGAATTGTATCTAAAATAAGGCAATATAATGTGAAAGATGAGTATCCGATGTTTTATTTATGAGAATAGATCGACCGGCCTCTAATAATAGATAATAATTACACACATATTGTTTACTTTGTTTCACCCTACAATAGTTGAAATTTCAATGAAAAATTCAGAAAGAGATCAAATTCTTTATACAACTTCACATATTAAATGCGAAATTATATTTACCGAAGCGCGTTAATTATTGAAAATAAAGAATAAATAAAATAGGTTTTTAGCAATTTTTCGCACAAAACTAGGATGCAGTGCATGGATTCTAAGACGGATTACTATCATAGTGTATTCATGAATGAAGTCACAATTGGTATCAGTTAACAGCTGACAAGTGCGTTACACAATCACAAACTAGCAGATAATAGCCAAAAGAGGGTCCGGAGTCCAGATACTAAACTAGAATTATTAAATAAAAGGTTTGTCCTCGCACATCCTTTTAAACAGCATTATCAATTCTTTGACATGTAAAAAAACCTTGGGTTTGTTTGAACCTTACTCCATGTAAATAAAGTTCAATATATATTGGCAACTATTAGAATCTACGTGGAAATAACACGTGCGCCCGCGCACACGTCTCGTGAAACACTAGGCTAGTGTACCGCCACACGTGATACGCTATTTTAATCTGTATCTGCGCGGACGCACGGGCTTGCATGGCGAAAATAAACCGATCCTGTAGTGATGGGACGTGGTCGATAGTATTTTTTATGATTTATATATTTTCTTCTACAGTTTTTAGTAAGACAAACTGAAGCACAATTATTATAACATAAATACTCTAGTACTTTCTATGATAATAATAAGCAATATAAGTTATGGAGGCCGCGTACCGGAAAACGCAGCGTGGGACGTCCACCTACAAGGTGGACCGACGACATCGTAAAGGTAGCAGGGAAGCGCTGGACGCAGACCGCTGCCAATCGATCAACATGGAAAGCATTGGGGGAGGCCTATGTTCAGCAGTGGACGTCCTATGGCTGAAATGATGATGATGATGATAAGTTACGGCTCAATATTTAAGTCAAGGAGTCAAAAGTGTCTTTATTTCTCTGGACCAATTAAATGAGTACTTGCAAATCGCCTTCGCATGTCTCATTACTTTTTTGTCCCACTAACACTTACGGACAGACTTTTGGTACCTAAGTGCTGAGAGTGGGAACCCTAAAACCTAAGATTTTGGAAAACTGAAACCGAAAAAAATATTTTAATGTTTTGGATTAATACGATGAATAAATGTTCATGAGGTGCACAAAATAGTAAAATACACTAATATTTTAATTAATGAACCGAATTAAAAAATAGCAAAAGTCTTGGAACATAATTTTACTAGAAACGGAGAACCACTATAAATTATTTGCAACTAGCTTCAATTTTTTCTATATTATATAATTATATTGTAGTAAATTATACTTTCGATGATCGCGTGAGTGAGTTCGATAAATAATTATGTTAATCATCAGACACATTAGTAATAATGACTTTAGCAGCATTATCACGAAACAATGTTGCTTGGATGAAGCAACGCACTTGTTTAGTCACAATAATACGAACTGAATGAAACATTTCATTAGTAGAACAAAATAACTGGTAAGGGAGAACTTTGCATTGACTTTGACACGAAAACGATGTCCAGTTCACCACTTTTTTGTTTGTTTTTTGGGCGAAATTTTGATTGACAAACAAAAACGTATGGATATGTAATGCAAGTTATAATAGGTGCAATTTTAAATCAAAAAATGTATCAACTGTAATTTAGATTTATTTTATAGATTTTATTCCCAAATCACAGACAAAATCAGTGTGATGATAGAAATTATTAACGACATAAAAATACGAAAACCATCGATAACAAGAGACCATCGACAACCGCCCATCGACTTACAAACATCACTCGTTCTAAAATTAAAGTCAGTCTCGGGCGAGCTCTCGCTCGGAGCATACGTAAACCAATACCAGTGTGCGATGCAGCGTTGCAAAACCGCCTAACTCCCAATTGATGAATATTTGGCACTGCTCGAATTCAGAATGTGAAACGACTCAGCTGATTGACCATTATGTTCGCAAGATAGCTGTTGAACTTTTGTAGTTACGTAACAACGTCAAAGTACGAGAAAATTAAAAATAGAGTGAATTTACCATACAATTTGATTTTTAAATGAGAGCTTATTCGTGATTTCAGTGTTTGAAATGGTTGCACTAAAATAGTACTTGCCTATTGATATTTATAGATGCTAGTTTTCTATCATTATTATGACCTACTTCCATCCGTCAACTCCCACGATCGAGTGTGATTGCTATTGGAAACCTATTGGCTTGAAATAATGTTCCAAGACATTAAATTATGTTCCAATCCATTACTATTGACAATCTAAAACGTGCCCTTTTAAGTATGTATGTAGATATTATTTTGAATCTTAGGCCAAAGACGTGAGTTACCGTATTCTACATTCTACATTACTATGAGGTCTCACAGTGCGCGTGGACATATGAACCATTCACAGAGCTCTATTCAACGATGTGCGTTCGATTTGCTACTTCACTTAAGCAAGCATTGTTTGTGAATAAGGGTGATAGGTACTTATTTAGAGAGAATACACAACAAAATTACACACTTTTGCTATGATGACGGTTTTCAAAATACAATGAGAATACATTTATAAGTAACCAGGCAGACAAAACACACGCCTACACAGTTCGTAATCTAGATCTATGGATAGCACTCGCCTGTAGTCTGGTCTAGACTTGAATCAGTGCATTTTTCTGAGAACTCGGCGAGTTGGTTAGTAGAATTGTTTTACACTCATTTGTCTCGAATCTTCTTGTTTTACGTGAGATGTAATAATTTTAGTGTGAAATTTTGAGGGAAATGTTTAATTTTTTGTGAATAAACTCTTAATTAGATCTGTCAACCTGCATAAGCATTGTATAAATATTAATATTAAATAATTAATTTTAATTCATAAGAAAGCAAGAAACATTTATTAGAAAGAAACATTTATTACGATGAACATCACTTAGATAAGGACAAAGAAGGTATACAGAAAATAAGACAGAATTAGCACATAAATATTACAAGAAAATAAGTGAACGGAGCAGTGCCACCTTGTCGCAACAGCGATGCCCATGGCAATGGGACTTGGGTACATAATTATGTTATATTTTACAAAATTATATCAAGCTCTACCTATATGCCTGGCCACGGGCCGGAAGACATAGTGTGGGCAGGGCTCCCACTAGGTGAACCAACGCTCTGGTGAAGGTTTCAGGAAGTACCTGGATGCGGGCAGCGTGGGACCGGTCGTTATGGAAATCCTAGGGGGAGGCCTTTTTCCAACAGTGGACGTCGTAAAAGAACTACAGACTATGAGCATACAAGACCCGTATCACGATTTTTCGGGGCACACAGTCCCAAATATAGCTTTTAACGGGACTATTCCCACCTCTCGTTCCCACCACTGCAACTCCTGTGTAGCCAGGATCTACAGCTTGATCGCCACAAAAACCCAACCAATGAAGGTCAAGTTTGTCCCGGGGAAAAGTTACACTGTCATTGGACCCGCAACGAAATTAATCAGAAGAACATAGGAGGAGTTCGAAATTAAGGTTCGACTTCCCTCCATTGCAAAGCGGATGACAGGTGACAAACAAAGGTTTAAAATTTTAAACCTTAGCACCCAAATATAGCTTGTCCTACCACTTCTGTCTGGGCAACAAATTGACTGGCCAGTGCCTAAATAAAGAACGTATAAACGTAGGTTTGATTCAAAGACAAGCTAGTAACATAACAGTATTGTTAGGCCGTTCAATACTTTCAAGGCTATTGTTTGGTGCCTGTATACATTAGTAAGTGGCCCTAGGTTTCCTAATGTTTGCCTAGGAACTAATAAACCTCATATACTAACTATTAACTACATCAACTCTTTATTGTATAAGCCCTTGGTGCGATCAGTGACGGACTCTATCAAAAGGTCTTTATTTTCGGGAGTATGTTGTAGGTAGTTATCGACAAATTCAAATAGTTTATTCAGTACATAGGCCCTTTACACAGGGCACTTATACACGTCTCAAATATAGCTTGCCCTACCACCACTCCAGACATTCCACCAGTTCGCACTAAGCGTTTAGCTAACTCTTTTATAATGCGAACAGCTACAGCTGGATTTCGTTGCCTGCTGCAGTCTTTCCAGAACACAATCCAGGCCTTTTCAAGGCGAGAGTGAACAGCCACTTACAGGGCAGGTACATACGCACACCAGGTATATTATAATTATCATCCTAGACCGAGTCTAAACTTTTATTTGATATATAATATACCAGTCTAGTAGACTGCACCTTAAAACATCAGGTGCGATTGCCGTTAAATACTTGCCTTTGGGCTGACACTGTGTAGGTTTGTTGTCGAAACGAAAAGAAGAAGAAGAATACTTGCCT